ACGCTTATCCAGCATTTGAAGGATACTCGAATTAGAGTGCAGAATAAATAACACAATAATAATATAAAAAAATAAAATTATAAATTGTAATTCTGTATAATAATAATAAGGTTGTGGGAAAAAATGTTTTATATATGGACATATTTTAAATATAATTATTAATTGTATATAAAATATGTCAATTAATAATATAATTATATATAAAATATTTTTTTCCGCGATTCTTGTTGATTTATCGGATTAAAGAAATTATGTATTTATTTTTAGGTAATTTAGGGCACACGCAGAAATTTTTGAATTCTTTGTTTCTCAATTTTTGCTTGCTGATCTATAGCAGTAAGAATCACGATTTTAATAATGATTGCGGTTTTAATGAAAAAAGAAATAATTTTTATAAAAACAGAGAGAAATTATCATGATTCGATAAAATTAATTGTTATTTTCTTCAGTTAAAACATGTTCAAAAATTGTATTTCCCGCATATTAAGACTATTTTAACCATGACTTTTAAATTTAACAAGGTGAACTAAAGAGAATATTGGAGAATATTATGTAATTCTTAACGTAACTGTAGCGTTACAGTATTGTTGCGTAGGTTTTGTACATTATAAAAAATAATACTGTAACGCTACAATTACAGCTGTTAAAAGTTATAAAATAATCCTCTTAGTTTCACTAATTTAGTTCTTTTTTATTATAGTTTTTCCTAAATGAAAAAAAGAAGAAACCAATAATCGCAGCATGTTCTTCAAATTGCTATTTATTGCTTCTATATTTTTCTCTCGCGATATTATTATAATAGTAAATGTAGTTTGGAAATGTATTTTGCATTTTGAAACATAGAATATTTGAAGTTAATCAAATGAAATTTTCTCACATTAAAATAAGAGTTTACGAGGATTATATATTGACAATTTTAATTATTACGATAATTATTCTTTGCATGAAGGATTATAAATAAATAATTCTAGGAAAAAATATTTTATATATAATTACATATAATTATATAAAATTATATAAATTTATATATACTTGTCTATATATAAAAAATACATATTTTATATACATATGATTATATATAAAATATGTTTATATATATAAAACCTATTTTCCCAGGATGTCATAAATGCAATTAAACAATAAATACAAATGTAACTATAATAATCATCCTAATCAGGAAATAAAGACATGCTTGGAATATAATATTTCTATTTTCAAGATATAAAAAGACTTTTCAATAAGTCATTTCACTCTCTCTCTCTCTCTCTCTCTCTCTCTCTCTCCCTCCCTCCCTCTCTTCCTTCTCTTCCCCTTCCTCCCTTCTTCTCTCGTTCTTCTCGCTTAACAACTGATTATTTCTAACAAAAGTCATAAAAAAAGTATTAACAAGTGACACAGATGACATGGTGTAACACATTACATGGATCACTATATTCTTGTAATATCCTATCGTTTTCCATTGTTAAACAAAGATGAGATAATCACTGTGTTGTACCGTCTTTTGTTGAAAGACACACAAAAATGACTGGTCTTGCTCTGTTGCTCGAAAATGGCATTTTTTGTTGAACAATATTATTAAAAAAAGAAGAATTGGGGAGGAATGTTTAGACATAATGTGCTCTCTATTACTTTTATATTTAACCGTAGTGAGCTTTTAAAAATACTTTGGTATTTTGTTTAGAGATGCCAAAATATTTGCGGATTATCGACATAACGAAATTTATTGCTAAAGTTCCGTGAGTCTTGTTGTTCACTTGCCTTTTGGAATATCCTTTGAAAGATAACAATAATCAATAACTATCAGAGGAACATGTGCATACCTAAAATGGTTGGTCCTAATAGAGTTGCGAATTTTCAAATAGTGTTCCATTGAAGTCCGACGGTCCATGCACTAATGATTAGACTGTTAAGCTGGAAATCGATTGTTTCCTTCCTTGGTAAAAATAAAAATCGGAGTATAAGTCGAATATAGAGTAACAGAAGCGTGAACAAAAGGCGAAAAGAGGCGAGAATTGAAATATCAAAATGTGAAAAAAAGTGTAAATGCTTCTTTTATGGTTTATTGTTTCCATTTTTACTTTCTAGAAATTTCGTTTACGCTTCTGTTACTTATCCGTTATATCCGTTATAGCACACTGCTTTATGTTCAATTAATTTCAAAGAATTTAAAGATTTTGCGAAATTTTTTACTCAACATTTATATATTCAGTGCCTTATACAAGGCAACATGACGGAAAATGATGCAATCAGGAATACAGAGCAATTTCTCAAAAAAATGAAATGCTATCCGTTGACAAATAATACGTTGCTACAAATGAAAGTGATTCAGGTACCCTTGGGGACAAGCTATTGCAAGTTGAAAATGGTAAACAAATCTAATTCAAAATCGGTAGTGACAAATTATTATCAAGCTGATGTTACGTCGATTAAATTATCGGTGTTAATCGAACTGATAGTAGTAAGTATTAAATAACATTGTTTGGAATATTTTGAATGCACGTAATCACTGGTTTACGTTCATATTTAAAAGAGAATGAAATATGCGAATAAGTTTGATTATCAGTGATTTTTTTATCCTTTTTTCAGTACATAATAGAAGATTCGATATACGAGCTAGCTGATTTAGAATTTGAATATGTTTTATGCGATATTAAAAATATTAATGGAATATTAGGATATTTTATTACTATTTGTGCTGAGGCAGATAAATATACAACCGAGTACATGGATCAAAGTATAGAGAAATATCTCACATTGTTTAAGGAGATTTTGAAAGATATCTCAGAAGAGGAATTTAATAATTATAAGGAATCGATAAAGCAAAGTTGGCATATACACGATGTTTACAAAAAAGTTGCCAGAAACTGGAATGAAATCACGAAATTTGAATACATGTTTAACAGATTTCAAAAGAGAAAGCTTGCACTAAAAAACATAAAAATCGATGAGATAAGAAAATGGTTTGAAGAGCACACACTAAATGGAAAAAATTTTAGAAAATTGAGCATACAAATAGCGGGTACTCCGAAGAAAGAAGTCAATGAAGCAAGTTGTGAGTAGATAACTTTTTTTTATGTCTTGATAAAATTTTATGGATACATATTTATTATCCGATATTATGACATTATTTTTGCCTTCATTTTTTTGTTTTTAAATTATCTTTAAAATTGCTAAGACAATTAAAATTTTAATAATTAATTGTTATAGATAGCGCAAAGAAATTACAGTACTTTGCTTTGAATTACATAATCAACGATCAACAGTATCAGACCGTGGTAGATTACAAAAAAAAACTCTATATTTATCCAGTGAGCGAGGGATCCTATCACATTATATAAATGATATTATTATAATAATATAGAACGCTAATTATAAAACGTTAAAAAACGGCCTTAATTTTCTTTAGCGTTAAGACAAGATTGTTCCCTGATCATGAATTATAACTGCATTATAATATATAATTCTTCCTTTTATTATATGCACAATTTTTTTTAATACCAAAATCCTCACGTAATAATAACAATACAGGCTCTTTAATTAGCTTTCCAATCCTTCATATTTATTGCCACTATTTTTTTCCTTTTTATAAGACATATATATATTATTATAATATCTTTAGGAACTTAATATCATTAGGAACACTTTGCACGTTGCAACATGGAATATTTAAATAAACTAAGAATGTATATTAGACTTTAATATAATAAATCAGTAAAATAAAATTAAAGTCCGACATATCAGCAGGCATAATTTCTGAAATTAATTCATTTAAATGAATATATATAATAGTTCAACATATTAACATTCAGAATAGCGCTCGTATTTAAAGTAATGTATCTAAAATAAAATTAAACTGCACTGCGAAGAACCAACGTAGTTGAAATATGAAATAATATCTTTCTATTATGAAAATAAATCAGATGCTCCTGACGAAAGTAAATCGCTAAAATCGCTGAAACAAATTTATCAGATTAATAAAGATTTCAATGATTTTAATGATTTATTTTTATCAGAAGCACCGAAAAAAATAGATATTTTTGTGCAGTTTGCGTCTATATTCTTCAGAGGGTAGTAATAATGCGGAGGCATTTTGTGATTACAGGAAAAAGGTCCTTGTCCTTTTTCAGATTTCTCTTTGCGGTATTGTACATTTAAGTGTGAATCAGAGTTATTAAAGCAACTTTTTACCCTATGAGAAAATTATCGTCTTCATACTTAATTGGATTATAACGTGCGTGTAGTCGATAATTTTCTCATAGGGTAAAAAGTTGATTCAATGATTATGACCAACCAATTTATCACGGAAGATAAACGTGTGCACGTGATGACGTAGTTCTACGTCCGCATTTTAGAAACATAGATGGCGTTTCTCCACAAAAACGCAAGCAGTTTCTTCTTTTTCTGATTTTAACAAGTCGCCATTGTGTGTTGACGTTTGGCTTGAGTTTGGAAAATTGTGTCTCATTCCAATCAACGATGGACGAAGCAGCGTCGAGTACATCGTCCTCACAATCCGCGATGGCGGATATGAAATATAGAGAAATGCTGAAGCGACTCAAAAAACTCCACGCCAAGAGGGTAAGAGAAGTTTACATTAGAATGTAAATGTAACCTGTATGAGACATTCTATTTATTCTGAATGTTTTAAACTGCTTATTCCTTCTTGTTATTTATATAAATATTGTTTTTTAAAATAATTAAGAGTTTTTGTTATTGGAATTTATCGTCGTGATTTGTCTAAAGCGTATTGATTTAACAGAATGAGGCCAGAATGCAGAATCACAAGGAAGTGGTGGAGGAGGACAAGAGGAACAAGTTGCCTACCAATTGGGAGGCCCGTAAAAGACAGGCCGAATGGATAATGCAAGACGAAGCCGCTAGAAATGAGGCAGAAGCTAAGGTATCATGTTTAACCAGATTTTCCATTTTTGACAAATTTTTACAAAATTAATTATCTATTTATTCTTTAGGGTGAAGACTATGAACGGAAAAAATTATTGAATATTGATGCCACTGAAGCAGAAAGAATAGCTAGAAAGAAGAAAAGCAAACAGAATCCCGATCCAGGTTTCTCGGATTACGAACAAGCGGCGATACGTTCTTATAACAGATTGGTGAAAAATATTAAACCGAATATGGAGACTTACGAAGAAGCGAAGGAGAAATTAGGCCCTGCTTTTTATGGTGATCCAAATACAATATTACACGGTTTACACGAAGACAAAAAGGAAGCAATAGATAAAATGGTCACCAATCTAGAGAAGCAGTAAGTAACATTTACAGGCCTGTTATGAAATTGTGTAATCTTTGATAAGTCTCGAATTTGATGAAGTTATCTTGTTTTTCTTTTTGCAGGATCGCAAAACGGGAGAAATACAGCAGGCGTAGAATGCACAATGATGACGCGGATATTGATTATATCAACGAACGTAACGCCAGATTCAATCAGAAACTGGAGAGATTCTACGGCGAGTATACTCGGGAAACGAAATTAAACTTGGAGAGGGGTACGGCTATATAAGGAAACATTGATATAATTATCACAAATACTTGTATTTTATGTATTATACGATGACTTTTTATACAAATAAGAATCTGAAGAAAAGAATTTTATGGTATTTAATCGAATGTATCTTTTGTTGCTCTTATTGGCGATGCATCTGTAATTATTTTGCTATACACGAAATTCTAAAGATGCGTAGAAATTGCTTCGAGAAGACATAAATCGCCAAAAAAACGCCAAATAAACTATTTAACGATTCTAATAACTCTTGATGTATACTAATCATAAATAAAAAATTAAGTTAAATTATTACATTAGTCATCATATGTGTTCTATTACAATCGCTTAGCCCCTACAAAATTTATTTAATTTAATTTTTTTATACGTATGTACAGTTTTTTATAAACTTCTAATTCAGTTCGCATCATACCACCCAACTGTGTACTATATCTGAAAAAGTAATACGTCACGATTATTTTTGCAGACTGTAAATAACTTACATTTGCAAAATATTAATCTCGTTTGAATAAAAGTATCAATATGAAATACTTACGCCGTGGCGAAAAATTATGATGATGGGTTACTCGTATATGAATATCTTGCGTCTCCCCTGAAAATGTCAGATTATAAACATTGTTGCAAAATTAAGTAAAACAATATTATGTATAATTCACTATGCATAAATTCCTTTTCTTACCTCAAGTTAGACTTAAAGATGTATTTCGCCGAAAAATATATATATCAATGCGGTATCAATGTTGTTAATAGCTTAAAAACATATAAAAAAGTATAGCTTATAAATGAAACGTTAATTTATACAAATAAGTGCGATTAAAATCAGCAAACGCACACACATGTCTTAAACAAACAAACGAGAACAGAGTCGCAACTCTCTTCTCTTTTATTATGCTTTATTAACATGATTAATGTAATTAATCATAATTAAGTACAAGTTTTTATAACATAGTCATAGTAGCATATGCTCACACTTTGTTAAAGTTTAAGTGTTTTTTTTTTAAATATAATAGAATAAAAAATATATCACTTTCATTTTAGCGCTTCATGGTATTCTCAAAATCCAATCGATTAGTGTAATCGCAGGAGACGATCTTCACGAGTTTCCACAAAGGATATATCAAAAGTCGGCATGCTGTTAGGCGACAAGTTATTTTATTTCATGTGGTTGGAATAATGTTCAGGACCGTTCACTATCACTACGATGACAATGAGGTCGACGGCAACTCCCTCGCCGGTTTGCCGGAGCTTATACCTGCACTGCTGCGGTTCAACAGTCTCGGCATGTCGCACTCCTCACACTTGTTCATCAATGGATGATTATCGAAAGTGCACATAGTACAGACCCACGAAGGCTCATCCCGTTCCTCCCGGTCGTTATCACTCGCCGGCTGCTCCGATCGCCATGCCGGTGGTTGACTCGGTAAACGCGGCGGTTGTGGATTCAGCGGTCTCGTCGGCAACGATTGGCCAGTATAAATGCCCTGATAAAACTCCTCATTCGTCTCGCCCAATGGCACTAGAAAGTACAAGTTATTCGCCACGAGTCCTACCAAACTTTGTATGCAATAACGTGATAGGAAATAGATACCTCGTCTATCTGACCATTGATCGACTTCTATGGCCAATCTGTCGCATTCGACCTGTAGCATATATATTTCGGTCTTCAGCTTTCTTTTCAGCTCCTGCAAAAATCACGCATTGAAAATAATGAAAAGAGAAAACGCATAAAAAATGATCGATTATCAATTCATGCAATTGTACATACTTGGGGTGATATCAAGGGATCTGGTCGGGTTAATGCTTGTACTTCCTTTTTCATCGCTTCGAGTCGTCCCTTTTCAGCCCTGAGCTCCTTGGCGAGCCTTTCCTTTCTAGCCAGTTGCTCCGCGACTAATTTCTTTTGATGCTCCTCCACTAAAAATTCCAAGGACTATTTTAGTTAGCATGTATATCAACCAAACAAGTCAAACAATTCCAGATCTTACTTCAATCACTTTCTAATTCTACTTTGTCACGAATGACGACTCATAAATTTGATTACATATCGCTTCGCCTTATTAGGATTTTATCGATCACGATGACAACGGATTAGATATAAGACAGTTTCATCAGTTATCGCATCTGCATCGTAGATTGACAGTCGCGCTCTCCGCATTGTGTCTGCAGCATTATCGCGCTTCTTAATCGCGGATAGAAAAAAAAAGCGAAAGGCCTTCGCGTGTATGCCATTTAACGTAATGGCCCAGGGAACGCGTCGGACTCTCACGATGAGAAAAACCGGATCAGGTAGTCCGCGTAGTTGTAACCGCGAGCGCGCGCGGGCTATGTATAGCCCGGAGCGTGGGGTCAGGAATGCGTAAATATCGTTCCCGGTGTTGCATGCGTGGGCGTAGTACGTGCGACCGAGTGACTTCCAGGTAAATATACACGTGCACGCGATTCTGCAGCGCTGGCGAAAGCGGCAGCGGGGACGCGCGCCGACGACGCGGTGTCATCCTGTTTCGATCCGTAGGTTCACCTTGGCACAACGGCGATCGATTCCGATCGGAAGCCATGTGATCCCCGAGGGAGGAAGAAACGGCGCTAAGAGACCCGACGCCGCTGCTCGTCGTAGGTCCGGACGGTGTTGTGGGAAGGCTGCAACCCGGGATGATATTCGTCGTCGGCGGTATGGAGGGAGTAGTCGGCGCGCTCATCGTCGTCGTGGGCCTTGGCAATTGGCTAGGCGGTTCTAGAGAAAGTTCTGAAAATGATACAGTAAATCTGTATCTCGTGTCAATTTTAATAAAAAAATTCTCCAACTAGAGTTAAAGATTTATATTTTTATAATGTGATTTTATTCTTAATTTTGTTGAACTGTGATTTTACTAAATTTAGAATCAGACGTCTGGGAACACTTCATGTATACACGCTTACATTTCGTGTTTCCACAGACTAACATAAATATTATATTGTATATAAATTTAATAATGTTCTTTTTTTATATAATATATTTTATTCAAAGTTTGTGATATAACATTTTATATTTATATATAATATTTCCTTCTCAATAAAACTTCTTTTTTAAAATATGAATGAAATTCTTGCCTCCAAATTAGGTCTGGATTGAACGGTTTGAAGTGTTTTAAGTTAAAAACGTACCAGGCGACCGTAGTGGGTTTTGAGACCACGGTGGCGGTATGAACGGCTTAGCCATAGGTGGTCTGATCCTCGCCGCCGCCACGCTACCGACGTTTCCAGGACCAATGCTGATCTGCAGACGGCTCTGAAAGCCACGTGGATCCAAGGACGAGGTCGAATAGGTCAGACTCGATCTTTCCGACCTGATATCGATTGGAGGTTGCGGCTCAGAGGAGGGCGGCCGGAGGGTCAAACTGACCGACGTATAACTTCGCGTGTGATCGATTTGCGTCTCGGACTTCCCGATGGCTAACAGAGGCTCGGCGTAATGAGGCCGTGGCACGACGACAAGGTCGCTTCGTTTACCGGCACCGTTCGTCGGTGCCGTTCGAAAATCTGTTGATATAAAATCACGATTAGACAATCGTTCTTTTAAAAAAGAAATATATTTTTCGCTAAATTTCTCGCGGATAATTTTAGAGCCGACAGTTGAAACAAATCAAAAGAAGTCGACGGTGTGCGAATCGAGGTCAATTTAATTTGCGAACTGGTCCGTCTGACCGGTTGATGAACGGCGATTGCGACAGGAGCTTATGAGCGCGATTAAAATAAATTGTCTCTAATAACATCCGTAATAAACAAGCATGCCGCAAGAGATTAAGATTCAAGAAGAGCGTATCGCGTTGCTATACAATCCGCTTTCGCTTGCAATTATTCTTTTGCATCCTATCCTTCCTATAGTCGTCAGCAAAATATTATCATTCCGCAATCTCTTTTTTTTTAATTTGATATTATTGTAATTTAATTCTTAGTACGCTGCTGGATAGTATCACATATTTAACGCTCGGTATTAATATATAATTATTGTAAGCAGTTTATATTATTTATTTCCGTATTTCCTGTCTTCTTTCCGAAAAACAATTTACTTTATTATCAATTCTAATAAGTCTCCTTTAATATCCATGCTTTTTACTAAAATATTAACTTAAAAATATTACGCACGCTAAAAATATATCAAATTTTAAATATTTATTTCAATAGTACCAACTAATATTTATTTATAATAAATAAATATTTATTCAATAAAAGAAATGATAATTGAATCAAATGAACGGTTCTTATACAAAATAAATATATCTTTATATTTAATAAATATTTAGTTGACACTATTCAAACGATTTATTAAGATTTAGTATATTTTTTTTTTCAATGCACAGTCTTTGCTCGGAATGCTCAGCGTTAAATAGTGCGAATACAATATCAATTTCAGCAAGGAGACAACGTCCATCTTCCGTACCGCGATTGCCCGCGGGGCTGCAGGCGACGTTGACGTTGAGGCGCGACGTGCAGACAGCCGGCGCAGACGAGGGGGTGGCGACGCCGCTGGACGACGCCGGCGTCGCAGCTGCGACGGCGACGGCGGCAGCGGAGCGGGTGCAGGCTACGAGAGGGTAACGACGGCTCATACCGATGTCCAACGACGCCGGTCGATGAGGACGCCCGACGCTGACGTTGCTCGCGACCGTTTGGTTCATCGGCATACCGGGCATACAGCAACGCTGTACTTGCGATGCGAATTGTTGCTCTCGTTGTTGTGCTTGCGGTTGCTGCGGCTGCAGCAATAGCGGCTGTTGCATCCCTGTACTGGGGGCTGGGGGTGGAAACGCGCCCGGTGACGGACGGGACTCCTGGGTGGCCCGCAGGCTTCTCGCGCATGTCTCCCGGTCGTGACTGTTCTGCAACGCACACACGTATCTGGAGTCAGCTTGCCGCCGATTGTCCTCGATGTTGATTCCGATTTAGGAGGCACCCCGTGGAACACGTGTCTCGAGTCCGTGTTTCTTTTCGAGGGTCGCCTTCCGAAAGGAACGCGTCGCGCGATCGCTTACAGTTAATCGCTCATATTAGACGCGTGTATGCTAAGAAAGACTTATAATATTTCAGAATATCAAAACCGGATGTTCCATCTGACTGTAATCTCTTTGGTTAACAATTATAATATGAATTTGGACCAGTGAGAATAAATAAGAGAAATCTTTCGTCCGATCAAAACGGATTTTTTTAGTGTAAATATTTTGGTGTAAATTTATATACATATATATATATATATATCCAATTCTGCAAACTACGCGCCGAAATCTTTTTCCTTTTGGCTAATTTAAATGCAATTTTGATGGGTTATCAAAATATTATGTAATATTATCTCAAGCTGATTGTTGTAATGTAAAAATTTTTTGCTTATATCTTTGAGTTTCCTACGTAATTACTTTGATGATCCAAAAATTGTTTTCAGATTTCTGTATTTACTTAAATTTTTAGATACTTGAGCAAAATCCTTCTCTTTCCGTGTACTGTAATCTATTTGCTAAGATTGTAAGTAAAATTCTATTAAAGTCCAACCAATTGTAGAATGTGACTTTGATCGTTTGTTTCCTTTCCTGAAATTTAACACATCTGAACGTTATTGTCGAAGAAAAATGGTTTTCAAATCGATTAATTCAAATATGACGAAGGGAACATCCGGTGATTTTAGGAGAGGACCTATGCACACTTAAACAACATACACACAGGTTCCACGCTCGTGCAAATGGGGTTTAGCGATGCATGGCAGAGGCGAGGAAGGAGAGAGGAACATGATCATTAATCCTTGTTAAATCGCACGTCGGAAATCGCGTTGCAGGCACCGGCGGTTAGTCGTTATTGCGGCGACCAGGGACGACTAGAGTTTCTCAAGTAAGAAATTGAACAATTTCTAATTGGTCTGCCATATTTTTCAGAATTTGCTTAAGATAGAATAAGATAAATATATAAGATACAGAAACGGATACTTCTATCTTAAGCATGTCCTGAAAAATATGGCGAACCAAATGCATGGTGTCCATTCTCTAACTTGAGAATCTCTAGGGACTACGAGTTAGTTGAGCGAGTCTCTCGAGAAGACTCGTGTTCGAGACTTCGAGGGTCGGTTTATTAGGGCCACACTCCTAACGGACAAAGGCCACCTGTGTACCTGGGCGATGCACTGGGAGACGACGTGATCAGGGAGCGCGGGGAACTGCTGCTTCAGCTCGTGGAACAGCTGCATGATAGTGATGTTAGAGCAGTGGCACTCCCCCATCATGGGCCCCCATCCTCCTGGCAGGGCCTACCTGCAGGTGCCAGGTATATCATCGTTACATGTCGTCGGTCCTCTACAACTTACTGTCGGACCGATACAAGGTGGTCGAGTCGGTCGTTTGGGCTCTCCCGTTCATTTAAGCTAATAACGCGCGCCAAAAGGGATACGCCGCCCCGTCTCTCGCGATACGACCGTAATACCGTCGCGATCATGAGAGAACGAGCCAAGAGCTCTCGTAATAACGCGATCCGGAAGCTTTCCCAGAAACGTGGATATTTTATAATTCATTGGATGCGACGAGTTGGGCCGCATCCAGATCGAATACTCGTCGAACACACTTCGTCGAGCGCGAGATGAAAATCGCGGTAATCGGTGATGGACTCCTCTCGATGCGACGGAAGGAAGGACGAGAGACAGAAAGAGAGAGAGAGAGAGAGAGAGAGTGACCGTGGAACCTGGCAAACGGAAAACGTGCGAAAAGAGCGATGTACGATCGCGCACATTATTTCTTTTTCAGGGGCGACTTCAGCAGGTGCGACGCGTTACTCTTGAAACTTGGATCTTCCTTTCGCTCCTTCGACGTGCCAAGCAGGAAAGACGGAAGCTTTTCCACTCCCTTTCACCCTCCCCCCGTCTCTCTCTCTCTCTCTCTCTCTCTCTGTCTCTCTTTCTCTTTCTCTCTCGATGGCATATCTTATCGTATTTATAAACCCGCCTGGCTGACCCATTTTTCAAGAGTAACGCACAAGTCGAACCAAGTTGTTTGCCTGCTTCTACACACAGTAATGAATGAGAAGTTCTCGTTATCTCGCAGAAATCAAGCCTCATATCGCGCGGAAATGTACATTATTCTTTCACACAAGTCAATAATTAAAATACAATTGCCAAGAATACCATCCAACGAATTGATACGACCTAATAATATACGGCTAAAGAATCGAAACTTTAATACGCTCCATTAACATTCTCTGATATCTGTACATCGCGCGACGTCTGCGATCTTCGCCCTATCTCCTCTAAATAACGGCCGAAAAATGATAACTATAGGCATAGGATTAAGGAGAAGTCTAAATACGTGTGCTTACGCACGTGGTGAATCATCGCAGAGATTCTTTTCGTCCAAAACTGCCAAAATCCGCGCAGGCTAATTTGAAATCCTGATCCTATTCCCACGCGGCCGATCGCTCCGCGACACCCGCTACATCGCGGAATTGGCAGCCACGTAGGAAAACGGTGGACACCTGTGCGGTGCACCACGTAAGAGTGCCACATAATTATTAGCCGGCACCGAGGAAACGCGCGCCACGCGCTCGCTCCCGCCAACAGCCGTGATGAAATTTTGCGAATAATATCATATATTATTTGCGAAAAAGAGCGCTTGGTCCTTGAATCGTGGAAAAAAAATCGCACCACGTATATACGACAATAATAATAAATAAGTACGTCTAAGAAATACAGAGACGAAAATGAATTTTAATAAGTATTTCTTTGAATAGCTCCAAGTAAACATTTACAAAATGTATTTTTATATTTTTTGATACAAAATATATTGATTTCGAGATTAGATTACCATTTTTTTTTTTTAAGTAAATATTTATTCACGGTAAGTAAATAACTACTTAGTACTATTCAAAGAAATATTATAAATGTGTATATTAAGATTTAATAAATTTTTTTCAGTATACCAAAAAGAATGTTGCAATCAAAATAGCTTTGATCCGACAAAAAATATTGCAGAACCAGTATAAGTGATTTTGATGGAAAAAAAAAAAAAAATACCGTCGACTTCCTTTTTGATCTGATCACAAAATGCTTCTCTCCGGATAATTTGTCTGTTTTCTCGCGAGCTCGCGATTGGCAAACGGCGCGACGCCAATTCGATCGGAAAAGACTTTGGAGGGGGACGAAAAAGCTTCAGTTGCGTGGAATTTACACTTGGAGCATAGCCACGCGGCGAAATAAAGTGCTAGAATTAATAATCTCCGTCGCTTCCTTTTCTTTCGTCTATTCGCACCTGGCGAGACGGCGGGTCAGGTGAACGAGGCATCAATCAGAAAGAAAAGTATTTATTGGCGCACTTTGCCTCTTGCCGGTTTTCCTTCAACGATTAATTAATTTGATCTAATATAAGCATTTCACATTTTTCTTTCATGTTATTAAAATGTGCATTAATATCTTTTCATTTTTTTTTTTAAATATTCCCTAGATAAAAAAAAACATGGTTCCATGTTGCACCTGATACAAATTTTGTATAAAGTTCGCATTAGCTTTCGCATTTTTGCCTATTATTTCAGACTCGCTTGCTCTTTCGTTTCTTTGGCAGGTAACTCGCTCTTCCTCTCGAGATTTTCGAAAACAAGTCTACATGTAAATGAGCGAAATGTAAATAAATGCGAGTGGGCAGATGGCACTCGAAGATGGTGGCCGTGCGAATTCGTTCCGGCTCTGTTCGCGAATCTCGACTAGCCGAATAAACGAATCCGCTCGTGCCAAAGGCATTTTTTCAATATAGATGTAATCGGATGCCGTTGCCATATCCTGCGTGAATTCCATTGGAATAATTATCATAGCAGGAAGGATGGAGAGGAGCAGTGAATCAAATATGAGATAAGATTTTCTCTTCCACGCAAAAATTATTCATCAAATTGAACATATTTAAACTATATATAACAGATACAAGTACGCGTAATTTTTCGATTTACGAGCTATAAAAATAACTAAACTTTAAACAAATTTCGCGAAAAGAGCTCCACGTCGAGGTGATAAAAAAAAAATAGCTAGAATAACATAACATTTCAAAAAAGAAATAGAGTCATATAAAATAAGATTACATAAAATCTGTTTTTATTCCTACAGACTGCACTAGAATCTTCTTTCTCGCTTTCATCGAATATCAAACATATATCTATTTCACTAAGTTCTAAAAGTGTATACTAGTTCAGCTAAAGAAAACAGATCTAAATATTGAATAAAGACAGAAGACTCTACCGGAAAGCGGAAAGTTTCAGGATTTCTCTGACGGCGACAGGGACGTTTTAAGAGGAGAACGAGAGCATCGTTCGCGTCGGAACAAGCGAAAAAGGAAAAGCGGAATTCCAAGCTGCCGAGAAGATATTTGTGTCATGAAATACTCGAGAGACACGCGTACACATAGATAGCGGCTGTTTTCGTCTGGGCCCCGTAGAAATGAAGGAAAAGCGGCAAAATCCTGATATTTCTACGTCTCCGTTTCTCAGTTGTGTTTTATTCCACGCGGAATAAGAAATAATTCTTATTCTCAAGTGCGTCGCGAAAATCCATCAAAGTCCCGAATGTCTTACGAGAACGGCTGATCGGCAGCGATTGGTATTTCGCGTTAATATTGTATGACGAAAATCCGCATTCTAATCTTTTGCGTTTGATGATGATGTGATTTTTTGCGAGTGAAAAGCGAGGGAAAGAAAAGTTTCCTCGCAAATTCGATCAGGGTTGCTGCACAAATTTCTCGTCCTAAAATTTCAGAATTTTTTTCCTGACTTCTAAACCAAATTTCACGATTTTTCATGATTATTTTCAATAATATTTTGACATTTTTTTTGTATTTTCATCGTGATTTGGAAACCATTAAATATTAAGTTGACATAGCAATTTAACATAGCAATATCAATTATTATTAATGTGATGCTGACACGGCTTGCATTTAATTGTTAAGTTTCCAAAACTGCATAGGTGTGATGTACGCATATCAAATTTCTTTAAAACCAAGCATTTTAATTTTTCATAAAATTTTATAAAATTCCCTTACTTTCCCTGATTTCCCTCACCATTTTCAATCGCCTTAACATTTCCCTGATTTTCAATTTTGTGACAACCCCATCGATATACAGTCGCAATCATATTAATTAGCAAGAAATCGTGAATTGTACAGTGAATTGCACATCTTCGAAACATGTACAGCATATACAGCTATTCGACACCTGTTGCTCGCGACGAGTCCACGAGAACTAATTGCTCATAATAACGTCTAATTATCAGTGACATACAAACGCAATGAACCGTGCGTGGCAATTAGAGCGACGGTGGAATAAAATTCGCAAATATGCTCTCAAATATTTTCCTAAATATATTCGGATGTTGGCTTTATTAAATATTATTACATTATTATTATTATTATTATTATTGTTACAAATTCATTCATAAAAATTGTCAAAGGGATAGGCCGATCGGCGCAACTCAACGCCGGCGTCGCGACGCTCCTTCGACATCTCGTTGAAATCCAACGAGATTCGATCCGCGCCGAGGAGTTTAACGTACATCGAGGGCCACCAGACGAAAATAAGGAACTAAGAATAATAATTGACGGGGGACGCGCATCGTTAACGTTAAGCAGAGCTGTACGATAAGTCGCTCTGCCGTGCGCGGTAAAAATAAACGCAAAACTATACTGAAAATAATATCACATTTTTCGTCCCTCCCGCGAGAGAATCCGCAAAACACGGTTGTCGCCGTCTGCAAACGTACAAAGTGTCCGCGTCAGTTGAACCCGGTCTTTTCGACCGGTAGAATTTAAATCGGTCAAATGTCGTTAAGTTCCACGCAAATTATTTAATTAACTTAATTAAATCGAAGAATATCTTCAAGAGAATATAACATACAAAAATAATAATTTAATATATTAAAACAATACAATATTTTTAATATATCGGTTAATAATTATTATTAAAAATTAATCGGTTAATAATTAAATTTAATACATCAGTGTTAAATTATCTCAAGGCGAGAGATTGCTCTCGTAATTTGCTCTCGAAATTGATATCAATACTCGGAACGGCTCTCCTTCTTAAACGTAAACATCTTCGGTCTTTAAATTCGAATTCCGTGCAATTACATACCGACGGAAACTTTCACCAGACGCGGTATTTTCGCGCGCGTCTCGATGATCCATTAAGTGAAATTACCGGGTAAGTTTAGCATCAATTTATCAGTGATTACGCAAATTACTGTCATCACTCATTTCGCGGAGAGAAAGGTAAACATTTTTCTTTCTCGCCAAACGAATGAATTGTAGGATCTCGCTGTGCTTCATAATGATGCGATTACAACGAAATGTGATTTAACGCGAAAATCAATTAGCTGATATCTTAATTCGAGTCTCGAATTGTTAAGAAAAAGAAACGCAATTACAATAATAAATTACAATAATTAGGATATTATGACATCTTTCGTGATTTTTATATTATAGAATTTAAATCGGTTAAATGCCGTCAACGCAATTCGCTTAATTAGCTTAATTAGCTTAATTAAATCAAAGAATATTTTTAAAAGGATATTATATGAAAAAAATAACAGTTTTAAATATCAAAACATTACAATATTTTTTATGTATCAATTAATAAGAATATTAAACAAACGATATGAGAATATTATTAAGGTGTCTTACAATATTAAAAATATTATTAAGATATTTAATACAATGATAAGATTAAAAAATAACGGTATCAAATGGAGAAGCTCGTAATCTATCGACTAATCTATCGAGTTCCCGGCGGAATTTATATCAACGGTTACGACGCCCTTAAAATATAAATCCACCAAATTTTCTGATTGATATTTAATCACGTAGCCACGTCCGCTCCAAGATCGACGCGTCGATCGGCGCCCCAGGACGTCTCAATCGCAGGAAACGAGAACCTGACCCCGATGGTTGGCCAATCGTCGCTAGTATGTACTCCGACTTTAAATAAACCGACGCAGCGAGAGGCGTAACGTTCCACCGCGAGCTTGTTATGACAGGCACGCGATACATTTGTTTTATGGCAGGGCGTTAAATTGATGCAGAAACTGACCGCTGTACAATTGATACTCGCTTCCTATTCTCCTTCTCTCTGCTTCACCTGCTTGTCAAACGGAATGGATCCTTCTGCAATTACATTATTGGGGAGGGTAAATGCAAGCGATTTTCAACGATTTTTTAAATGCAAAGAATTGGATTTTGCAGTAAAATATTTATCCTTCATATCCGTTTAAAATTGCGAGTTTCGTTTGAAATCTCAATAATGTAGATGCAAAAGGATCCATTCCGTTTGACAGGCAAGGAAAAGGAGAATAGGAAGAAGTATCAGTTTTCTTCATCTTTTTTTAATTCTTGGAAAAAGATTAGGAGTAAGTTGAATCGAGATTAATGTTAATCCACATTGATGGAATCGCATCAATGTTGGAAAGAATGTTTTTGCTGAAATACATATTCTAAAAATTTGCCTATTTACAGAACTGAAAATAATTTCGTTGAGTTATCAAAATATTTATTACACAGAATGTTCAGGTATAATGAAAAATGCTGAAAAAAATTTTGATATTCCAGCAATCAGTTTGAGCGTCGTACAGAATTATTTTCAGATCTGTAGATAAATTTTTAGATACTTGATCAACAAAATTCTTTTCGTGCGAGCGAAGTAATTGTGCAGTCAATAATCGGATTTGCAATGAGAAATATCGCTTGTGAAAGCGGTAAATATTCGCGGTACTCAACTGGAGAATTATTAGAGTCGATCACATTAAAGCTCGCCTGTTTACGTTTGCCTCGTAACAGGTTTAAAGCGTGACGTCGAGCGTTTTTACGTGAACGCGTATAATTCTTACCCACGCGCGTGGCAACTCGCTGTGCAAACAGCCGCCTCGTGACATATTATCTTCGTGTAACATTATCATAAATTTTACGCAACGATCGAAATCGGTATGACGCGGGTGAAACATTCTATGATCCATCGTCGTACGGCTAAAGATAAAGATCTTACCGTTCCGCGTCGCGTTATGCTCTGACAAAAACGGAGATAAGCGTACATATATATTAACGAATGTATCAAATAAATGAATATACATTAATATTAATTAAGAAGTAGAAGTAAGGAAGGTTAACCATCAACTGTGTAAATGTAGAATTTCTGGGACTTCTGTCATTCGTTTTGTAATTTTGAATAATTATATATTCCTTTCTTAAGCCGGTATTCATAGTCGATTCTTATATTTGAGACTCTCTTAAGTACAGTCTTAAGATGTCAATTAGAGAACCGTATTAACATCTTGAGAAATTACTTAAGGCGATCTTAAAAATAAATAAAACGATACTGTGCAATGCTGAGAAACATAAAAAAAATGCAACGTGATAAAGACTGAAGAGTAATTACATCTATTTTTCTTTTTCTCTCGAGGATAGAAGTCCCATTTTACTCTCTAAAACTTTTAGAGTGAATCTGAAGAGTGAAATCTTGCTTTCAAAGATTGAATGAGTTACTCTTTTTCAAAATTAGTTCAATTTTCACTCTTTAGAGTGGGATTTTATATTAAAGAATTTTAAGAATTTTAAGAATCGCTCATACATGTGTAACGTTCACAATTAAGGGTTACATTAATTATCACAATAATTATCCGTGACTGGTGATTGATTTTTTACCGGTGCGATTGAAACCTTTTAAGACGCTTGCAAAAGACAAGTGCCTTGCGCTCTTTGCTTCCTGTTTCTTACATTTTGTCTGTTTTCCCCATTAAAATTAAACCACATTAGTAAGAAACAAGCATAAGACTCAGTTTCACTGTAATGTAAACATTAATATCGATTTAACTTACTGTTTATCCTTTTCTAACGTCAATTCTTATCAATGCGGATTAACTTTAATCTCGGCTTAATTTACTTACATGCATCCTTTTCTTAGAACTAGTAAAAGATAAAAGTAAGTTAAACCAAGATCAAAGTTAACTTGCATCGATAGGAACAGACATAGTTTTAAGAAAAAGATAAAGAGTGAATTGAACGAGATGAAAGTTAAATTTGATATTGATGGAACCGTTTGAAACGGTGTTCCTGAGATCTCGAAGCCTCTTCGCGGAAGCGCATTGTTGTCGCGGCGCGTATCCATCCGGTGCATTCCGTCGCAGGTATATTTTCGTGCCGCGTGGAGTGCCCGCCGTCGTCGCCGCGAGTAAAAGTCAGAGAGCGTGTTCCGTTTCTTTCCCCCTTACTCTCCTTCACGACGCGGAGGAAGCGACGGATGAGAAGACGCCACCGTCGCCACCGTCGTCGTCCACGTCGACGACGACGGCGGCGATCGACCTGGAGCACCGCTTTTAGATCCGAACTTTAGTCGGACTCACCGGACGGCAACCATCGGAGACGTCCGACGGGCGATGTTGTTGTGCACTTCCTCCTCTTCCTCTTCACTACACACCTACACCTCGTCCGTACCGGAAGGAGGAAGAGACCAACGCTGTGATCGTTCGCCAAAAAGATCCCGTGCCCGGATGTATCTCGTGGAAACTCGCTTTTCGTCTCTCGAGGAGACTTTCACCTGTCACCTGTGCACGATCCTGTGGTACACGCGAATCGTGATGGTCTTTTAGTCTGTCTCTTTCGCGTCCTCCCACTCACGTTTTTCTTTCTGTCTTTTCCTTTCTTCCTGTGTTTCTAGCCACACTGATTTCGCGTTTTCTCTTTCAAGAGCCGACGAGCGGAGCAGCTACCGTCCGTCGGGGCCACCGATCAGCTGTGCACTGCGTACCGACCACCGCGCTGCTCGGCCGCGACTTTCGTCCCGGCACGTCGCGACGCCTTGCGTCGCGGACGACGGCGGACGCGACGTCTCGCAGGTGATTTAATATTTTGTCGATTTCTCCAGAGCGAAACGATCACGAACGTCGACGACCGCACGAAGCGATGGGAGCTCGCGCGATCACGTAGTCAAGATGGCCGTCGATAAGAATAAAGTGGCCGTCCCTATTTATGAATGGAAGTCGCGTCACGACAGCTCGCCGCGGTTATGAGAAATGAGAGGCGTCGAGAGGTGGGATGGCGGTCGCTGTGAGAGAGGAGTCAGGAGGGATGCGACGTCCGCGCGCTATTTTGGATCGCGTACGAGACATGGATACCGACGCACGGCATCGCGACGGATACGGTCCTCCTTTTCTCGCTGTGTACTCTGATTTCGCCTGGCGTTTCTTCCTGCCACAATTCTCGCGTGGAAATTACTTGGATTTGAGGAGGGAATATTGAGAGACTAATATTCGTTTCTGTCAATATATAATTTAATTGTAATTCCGTTAACTACTTAACTTCATTTCTTTTTAGTTCTACAGCCCGGTTCGAATGTAAGATTTAATTTTAATCTCGGTTTAATTATATTACTATTTATCTTTTTCTAATTTTTAGAATTAAAGTTAATTTTACATTTACAGAACCGGGTTTAAGAATTGAAAAAGGCAAAGAGTTGAATCGAGATCGAAGTTAATCTATATTGATAGAAATGAATACAAAGCACAATTCTACTAACGTAAAATTGATTTTGAACGGTTCAATTTATTCTTTGTCCAAGTTAATTTTACATTGATGGAACTGGGCCTAATCTGGCAAAATTAAATCGACGGAAATGGAATTACAGCAAGAATTGCAAAGACATTTCGTGTAAAAAATGTTCTTTACATTCTCTCATCACGACTGCATAATTAAACTTACCTGATTACTATTCTCCGATTTTTTTCTTCATATCTTCTTTTCAGGATCTTCTATCATATCTCATTCATATGTTCTCCGTATCTTTTAGGACGACGTTGTTAAGATGACACTGAATACTTTTTAATTAGTGACATATCATCATTTATCTTTTCTGATATTCCATGAGTAAAAGATGTTTTCGACATTTAACGATATAGTCAACACAAACATTTCTATTCTTCTTGACATTCAATGATTAATAAGGGTAGGATGACACTTGTGTCAACTTGTGGCACAAAGTGGAAAGTACCCAAAGATAGAATAATACTTGTATTATGTCATTCAATGGAAATCACTACCTGTAGTGACTACTGGGTTCTTTCCATTTGGTGACACGAGTCAACACAAAAGTGTCATTCTTCCTTTGTTACTCATTGTGCCAAAAAAAATAGAAGAATATTTGTGTCGACTTCTGTTGTTAAATAAAAAACACTCATTGCCACTAATGTACATTAATTTTAATCTCGATTCAACTTACTTTTCATCTTTTTCTATTTCTAAGAATTGAAAAAAGGTGAAAAATAAGCTAAACCGAGATTAAAAATTACTTTACATCGATGGAAACAGGCATAAATAAAATGTATGTTTTCTGTCCATCCTTGTTATCCATATCGAGATATAAAAATATCAATATCATATATATTTAACAAAAAAATAACGCCCAGATATCATATATAAAATTATAACATTTTATGTTATATTAGATAAGAGGACTTAGCTACGTCGCGCTGTGATAAATGACGAGTGCTTCAGGTATTACTGTAAACACTGGTATATTGATTTCTACGGATATATAAACCAAAATTAATATAATAATACAATAGTAATAATAATAATAATAATAATAATAATAATAGAATTACTAATGCGGAATAGACAGTTGCATACGAGTTGCACTGTTGCTCGATTTTCTGTTTTCTGGAACAGTGGATTAATGGAAATAAGCGGAGTCGAGTACCCGGAGATGCTGTTATTTTAAATGTTTTCGTGACTCGGGGGAAAACAATCGTGGGAATTGTTTGCGTTCATTCTCTGCTTGTAAATCAGTAAAAATGCTAACTATGAATAACACAAGATGTCTCGAACCACGCTGCGGAATCCAGAAGAAACGTACGCATTCTGGATCACGTGTCTCGCGAGAGATACAACAAAAAAAAACGAATTCTTTTTTCTCCGTATATAACGATAATATGTTTCCTGTTTTCTGTTGTGCAATCATGTTTAAGAACATGAAGATATGTTAAACAAATTCATAATTCCGAACGTACCTTTCTCATTAATGCAAATGTCTCGATCATGTTTAAGTATTTCATTATTGTAACTCGTAATAATGAGTGGCTGAATGAAAACGATGGAAAAAAGAGAAATCTAAACGTTTAAAAAGATTTACGTAAGTTTATTAATAATGTTGAAACATTTTATCAAGCGTTCTAAGATTATTTTATCTACTTGATTTACTTAATCGTATGTAAGAATAATCCTTAGGAATAATTATTATCCAAAGAATAATTTCTATTAAGATTGCAAAAATATTAATGGCACCAATTTGGTTCTCTCCGCATACGTTTCTTTTGCATTCTTGGTGTTAATTTCCATGATTATTGCCGTCACAGAATGACAAAATCATTATCGCTTTTTATAGTAAACTTAATCCTTAGATTAACAATAGCAAATTAAAATTTTGTAATACTACTCAGGTCAAAACTACGTACGCGTGCTGTACATAGTGGAAGAAAAAGAAAATAAAGGAGAAGAAAAATGGAGAAAATTAATATTCTCTATGATTTTTAAGATTTTGAATGCCTTAATGCACTTATGTATGTTTTCGCGTCGTTTGCGGTAAAAAAGCTAATCCGTTTACACCTGACTTGATCCCATAAGAAAGGGATTCAGCAATAATTGCTTAGCAAAAGATATGAACTAATCAATGACAGCGAGCTTACGACTCGGAAGACGAGAGTTTCAACGGTAGAATCCCCATTCGTTTTCGATGCTACTGTTGGACATATTAAATTACAAAATGCACGCCGTTGAAACTCATTCGAGGCGATTCACTGTCTCGCTAAGCCAATCTCGATGTTTAATCGAAGTCACGCGATCGCAGACTCGCCAAGGAAGGCCCGACCTAGTCATCGTTGACCTCGATCGGGATACTCGTAGTGAAGGTCGGCGTCTCCAACTCCTCGTGCTTCTTCATCTTCATACTCTGCAAGTAACGAGATTCACAGTTATATCGGTCGAGGACATGGGAAAAGTGATGGTTTACTGCGTGGCGAATGGGATTGCGTTATTGCGCGACACATGAATTAAAGGCGTGAATTAAAGACGTGAATTAAAGGCTTGTCGAAAAGTGCTAATTATTTAGCTGAACGCGAATGCAATTAGAGATCTATCCCCGTGCGTCTTACCTGTTGCAGTTTATAGTGATTAATGATATCCTGATCGGCTGGGCAGCTCTGTAGGAAAGCGTCGAGCCTGTACATGTGATGCATGTACCGCCACAGATGTACCAGAGTCTCCGGTATCTCGAAGTCGGCAAAGTACTTGCCGGCGACCCTGATGTGCTGCAGCCGCGGCATCAGCTCGCAGTCAAAGCAGCACATGGTGTCGCCGGTGAGGAAGCGCGTACCTTTGCGGCCCAAATGTTCATCGATCTTGCGTAGATGGGCCATCAAGGAAGAGGACTTGGGATCCTTGTCCTTGTCCTTTGCGTTCAGTAACAGCAGCTTGAGTTTCTGTGAAATGAATCGACATGTAATTTCTGGTCTCGGCAGAGAAAAGGGTATAATTCGACATCTCAGTTTCCTGATTAGTTTCACTCTCGACTGGATTGATCAACACTCACGCTGAACAAGTTCTCCACAAGAGTGGCCACTTCCTTATCCTGTACAAACAGATTGTGTCCGCCAGGGATGTTCTTCATGATGTGCCGTTCGATCTTTTCGTTTTCCAGTATCGCGTCGCCATTGTCGATCAGGATAGGCGGCGGCGTGGCCTGAAAGTTGGTGCGAAAATCGGGCGGTGGTTTTTGCATGTCCACGGTAGTCACCTTCAAGGAAATCGTCTTCAGTTCCGCTAAGAGATATAGATCCATGAAATATTCTTGGCAGAAAAGACAGGCGCCCTTTCGACGACCATCGATCGTCGATGCCTAAAAGGGATATTTTTTGTCATTAATTAACATCGAGAGAGAAATATAAACAAAATTTCTAGTTGACTAAGAAATATATATTTGGGATTTAAAAAATATATGTACTACTCAAATCTATTTTAGATTCAAGAATATATTATTGTTATTATGTAGATATTATTACGATTTATAATATGTCTATCTTTTTTTCATATATATAATTATATTACATCTCGTTATTTTTCGCAGTAAAAGCTGCATTTTGCGACTATTATTAACGTTAAAACTGGCATGTAAATTCTGCGGTATCTTGCGGGTTCGATTATCCTGTCTGTATCTCTGGGTGATAAGAGGCTGACGTCAGCTAACAACTAGTTCACGAATTCAACAACGGCGTGGCGAAACGCGCGAATCTTTGTGTTTGCGAGTGATGAGCAAACCCAACCCATTAGTCAAACCTTCGATCCAACGTCCCACCACCGCACATTTTTTTTACTGCTCGATCGGCCGAATCGAGAGAGTACCGAATTCGCTAGAGCACGGCGCACTCATTT